AGTGAGCTAGGACACAGGTGAGCTAGAGTGAGCTAGGACACGGGTGAGTTAGGACACAGGTGAGCTAGAGTGAGCTAGGACACAGGTGAGCTAGAGTGAGCTAGGACACAGGTGAGCTAGGATACAGGTGAGCTAGGACACGGGTGAGCTAGGACACAGGTGAGCTAGGACACAGGTGAGCTAGAGTTAGCTAGGACACAGGTGAGCTAGAGTGAGCTAGGACACAGGTGAGCTAGAGTGAGCTAGGACACAGGTGAGCTAGGGTGAGCTGGGACACAGGTGAGCTAGGACACAGGTGAGCTAGGGTGAGCTAGGACACAGGTGAGCTAGGGTGAGCTAGGACACAGGTGAGCTAGGGTGAGCTAGGACACAGGTGAGCTAGGACACAGGTGAGCCAGGGTGAGCTTGGACACAGGTGAGCTAGGGTGAGCTGGGACACAGGTGAGCTAGGGTGAGCTAGGACACAGGAGAGCTAGGACACGGGTGAGCTAGGACACAGGTGAGCTAGGGTGAGCCAGGACAGGTGAGCTAGGAAGAGCTAGGACACAGGTGAGCTAGGACACAGGTGAGCTAGGACACAGATGAGCTAGGACACAGGTGGGCTAGGACACAGGTGAACTAGGGTGAGCTAGGACACAGGTGAGCTAGGGCGAGCTAGGACACTGGTGAACTAGGGTGAGCAAGGACACAGGTGAGCTAGGGTGAGCTAGGACACAGGTGAGCTAGGACACGGGTGAGGTAGGACACAGGTGAGCTAGGACACAGGTGAGCTAGGACACGGGTGAGCTAGGACACGGGTGAGCTAGGACACAGGTGAGCTGGGGTGAGCTAGGACACAGGTTAGCTAGGGTGAGCTAGGACACAGGTGAGCTAGGGTGAGCTAGGACACAGGTGAGCTAGGGTGAGCTAGGACACAGGTGAGCTAGGACACGGGTGAGCTAGGGTGAGTTAGGACACAGGTGAGCTAGAGTGAGCTAGGACACGGGTGAGCTAGAGTGAGCTATGACACAGGTGAGCTAGGGTGAGCTGGGACACAGGTGAGCTAGGACACAGGTGAGCTAGGGTGAGCTAGGACACAGGTGAGCTAGGGTGAGCTAGGACACAGGTGAGCTAGGGTGAGCTAGGACACAGGTGAGCTAGGACACAGGTGAGCTAGGACACAGGTGAGCCAGGGTGAGCTTGGACACAGGTGAGCTAGGGTGAGCTGGGACACAGGTGAGCTAGGGTGAGCTAGGACACAGGAGAGCTAGGACACGGGTGAGCTAGGACACAGGTGAGCTAGGGTGAGCCAGGACAGGTGAGCTAGGAAGAGCTAGGACACAGGTGAGCTAGGACACAGGTGAGCTAGGACACAGATGAGCTAGGACACAGGTGGGCTAGGACACAGGTGAACTAGGGTGAGCTAGGACACAGGTGAGCTAGGGCGAGCTAGGACACTGGTGAACTAGGGTGAGCAAGGACACAGGTGAGCTAGGGTGAGCTAGGACACAGGTGAGCTAGGACACGGGTGAGCTAGGACACAGGTGAGCTAGGACACAGGTGAGCTAGGACACGGGTGAGCTAGGACACGGGTGAGCTAGGACACAGGTGAGCTGGGGTGAGCTAGGACACAGGTTAGCTAGGGTGAGCTAGGACACAGGTGAGCTAGGGTGAGCTAGGACACAGGTGAGCTAGGGTGAGCTAGGACACAGGTGAGCTAGGACACGGGTGAGCTAGGGTGAGTTAGGACACAGGTGAGCTAGAGTGAGCTAGGACACGGGTGAGCTAGAGTGAGCTATGACACAGGTGAGCTAGAGTGAGCTAGGACACAGGTGAGCTAGAGTGAGCTAGGACACAGGTGAGCTAGAGTGAGCTAGGACACAGGTGAGCTAGAGAGAGCTAGGACACAGGTGAGCTAGAGTGAGCTAGGACACAGTTGAGCTAGAGTGAGCTAGGACACAGGTGAGCTAGGGTGAGCTAGGACACGTGTGAGCTAGAGTGAGCTAGGACACAGGTGAGCTAGAGTGAGCTAGGACACAGGTGAGCTAGAGTGAGCTAGGACACAGGTGAGCTAGAGTGAGCTAGGACACGGGTGAGCTAGAGTGAGCTAGGACACAGGTGAGCCAGGGTGAGCTAGGACACAGGTGAGCTAGAGTGAGCTAGGACACAGGTGAGCTAGAGTGAGCTAGGACACAGGTGAGCTAGAGTGAGCTAGGACACGGGTGAGCTAGAGTGAGCTAGGACACAGGTGAGCTAGAGTGAGCTAGGACACAGGTGAGCTAGGACACAGGTGAGCTAGAGTGAGCTAGGACACAGGTGAGCTAGAGTGAGCTAGGACACAGGTGAGCTAGAGTGAGCTAGGACACAGGTGAGCTAGAGTGAGCTAGGACACAGGTGAGCTAGAGTGAGCTAGGACACAGTTGAGCTAGAGTGAGCTAGGACACAGGTGAGCTAAGGTGAGCTAGGACACGTGTGAGCTAGAGTGAGCTAGGACACAGGTGAGCTAGAGTGAGCTAGGACACAGGTGAGCTAGAGTGAGCAAGGACACAGGTGAGCTAGAGTGAGCAAGGACACGGGTGAGCTAGAGTGAGCTAGGACACAGGTGAGCCAGGGTGAGCTAGGACACAGGTGAGCTAGAGTGAGCTAGGACACAGGTGAGCTAGGCTGAGCTAGGACAGAGGTGAGCTAGAGTAAGCTAGGACACAGGTGAGCTAGAGTGAGCTAGGACAAAGGTGAGCTAGGACACGGGAGAGCTAGGACACAGGTGAACTAGAGTGAGCTAGGACAGAGGTGAGCTAGAGTGAGCTAGGACACAGGTGAGATAGAGTGAGCTAGGACAAAGGTAAGCTAGGACACGGGTGAGCTAGGACACAGGTGAGCTAGAGTGAGCTAGGACGCAGGTGAGCTAGGACACGGTTGAGCTAGGACACAGGTGAGCTAGGACAAAGGTGAGCTAGAGTGAGCTAGGACACAGGTGAGCTAGAGTGAGCTAGGACACAGGTGAGCTAGGAAACGGGTGAGCTAGGACACAGGTGAGCTAGGACAGAAGTGAGCTAGAGTGAGCTAGGACACAGGTGAGCTAGAGTGAGCTAGGACACAGGTGAGCTAGAGTGAGCTAGGACACAGGTGAGCTAGGGTGAGCTGGAACACAGGTGAGCTAGGGTGAGCTGGGACACAAATGAGCTAGGACACAGGTGAGCTAGGGTGAGCTGGGACACAGGTGAGCTAGGGTGAGCTGGGACACAGGTGAGCTAGGGTGAGCTAGGACACAGGTGAGCTAGGGTGAGCTAGGACACAGGTGAGCTAGGGTGAGCTAGGACACAAGTGAGCTAGGGTGAGCTAGGACACAGGTGAGCTAGGACAAAGGTGAGCCAGGGTGAGATTGGACACAGGTGAGCTAGGGTGAGCTAGGACACAGGTGAGCTAGGGTGAACTAGGACACAGGAGAGCTAGGACACGGGTGAGCTAGGACACAGGTGAGCTAGGGTGAGCCAGGACACAGGTGAGCTAGGAAGAGCTAGGACACAGGTGAGCTAGGAAGAGCTAGGACACAGGTGAGCTAGAGTGAGCTAGGACACAGGCGAGCTAGGACACGGGTGAGCTAGGGTGAGCCAGGACACAGGTGAGCTAGGGTGAGCTAGGACACAGGTGAGCTAGGACACGGGTGAGCTAGGACACAGGTGGGCTAGGGTGAGCTAGGACACAGGTGAGCTAGGGTGAGCTAGGACAAAGGTGAGCTAGGCTGACCTAGGACACGGGTGAGCTAGGGTGAGTTAGGACACAGGTGAGCTAGAGTGAGCTAGGACACGGGTGAGCTAGAGTGAGCTAGGACACAGGTGAGCTAGAGTGAGCTAGATTGAGCTAGGACACAGGTGAGCTAGGACACAGGTGAGCTAGGTTGAGCTAGGACACGGGTGAGCTTGGACACAGGTGAGCTAGAGTGAGCTAGGACACAGGCGAGCTAGGACACGGGTGAGCTAGGGTGAGTCAGGACACAGGTGAGCTAGGGTGAGCTAGGACACAGGTGAGCTAGGACACGGGTGAGCTAGGACACAGGTGGGCTAGGGTGAGCTAGGACACAGGTGAGCTAGGGTGAGCTAGGACAAAGGTGAGCTAGGACACAGGTGAGCTAGGCTGACCTTGGACACGGGTGAGCTAGGGTGAGTTAGGACACAGGTGAGCTAGAGTGAGCTAGGACACGGGTGAGCTAGAGTGAGCTAGGACACAGGTGAGCTAGAGTGAGCTAGATTGAGCTAGGACACAGGTGAGCTAGGACACAGGTGAGCTAGGTTGAGCTAGGACACGGGTGAGCTAGAGTGAGCTAGGACACAGGTGAGCTAGGACACAGGTGAGCTAGGACACAGGTGAGCTAGAGTGAGCTAGGACACAGTTGAGCTAGAGTGAGCTAGGACACGGGTGAGCTAGAGTGAGCTAGGACACAGGTGAGCCAGGGTGAGCTAGGACACAGGTGAGCTAGAGTGAGCTAGGACACAGGTGAGCTAGAGTGAGCTAGGACACAGGTGAGGTAGGACACGTGTGAGCTAGGGTGAGCTAGGACACAGGTGAGGTAGGACACAGGTGAGCTTGGACACAGGTGAGCTAGAGTGAGCTAGGACACTGGTGAGCTAGAGTGAGCTAGGACACAGGTGAGCTAGAGTGAGCTAGGACACAGGTGAGCTAGAGTGAGCTAGGACACAGGTGAGCTAGGATACAGGTGAGCTAGAGTGAGCTAGGGCACAGGTGAGCTAGAGTGAGCTAGGGCACAGGTGAGCTAGAGTGAGCTAGGACACAGGTGAGCTAGAGTGAGCTAGGACACAGGTGAGCTAGAGTGAGCTAGGACACAGGTGAGCTAGAGTGAGCTAGGACACAGGTGAGCTAGAGTGTGCTAGGACACAGGTGAGCTAGAGTGAGCTAGGACACAGGTGAGCTAGAGTGAGCTAGGACACAGGTGAGCTAGAGTGAGCTAGGACACAGGTGAGCTAGGACAAAGGTGAGCTAGGACACAGGTGAGCTAGGGTGAGCTAGGACACAGGGGTAAAATACTCACCATTGTTAGAGGCCTCCAGCTGGTAAAACGGGTCGTCCATATTCTTGTCTGGAAAAGATAACACGAAAAATATGTTTCTATAACAATTGATGAATATACAATCAACACAGATTATGTCTATACCTGCAATGTTGCAGCGTGTATGGGGTTATTTAGAGATTTAGTCGCTTATACATCCTGTCACGGGGGGTGGGCCGGGGCTCTGCTAGCACTCAGCTGCTAGGGGCTCAAATGGCCGAATACTCAGCCCCTCCGACTCCCGGGATTCACCGGAGTCTCCTTGGTCACACAGGAGAGGACCAACAATGCCCACCTCCGCAGGTCTTTGCTTCCACCACAAAAGGGGTGCCACTGATTCACCCTGGAAGCCCTTCAGTCAAACACGGGGAAACTACTGTTAACAGTTCCGGCCTAGACCCGTGGAGGAGGGAAGGAAGACTCAGGCTTACCTTATAACCATAACCTCCCTGAGTCTTGCCTGCCAGACAAAAAGGTTGCAGGAACTCCTTTCCCGCCTGTTCCCTATCTTCTTCTTAACAAGGTCGCCAGCTGGGTTATTAAATCTGCACCCCAGCAATGCAGTTCAGTGGGTGTATTATGTATTGTTTGTAGCCAGAAGGTTGCTACTCCCATAGATCTGCTATTGGACTGTCGGCCCAGGGTACTCTCCCAGGAAGGTCTGTGTGGCTTTACCTCTCTCTAGCCATCACGTTACTAGTTGCCACCATTCAGGCACTGATACTGATCGGATGGCTAAGGGTACACTTTTATATAAGTCTGTGCTGTTTTTTACCACTCTCCAGGCAATAAGAACTTTTATAGAGAACGTGGTGTTCCCTAGGTGGCACTATGATAACCTTCGTGTATGCTCATAGAGAAATATTATAAAGGAGGCACACTTAAACACAATGATAAAAGTGGGAATTTACTGATGCAAATTACATGATCACACATACAATCACAAGTAATACATGAATATGAAAATAAGGATAATAAGTCTGGAGATCGTCAGCCTCTTCTTTCACGACCTCCAACACTCCTTCAACTGGGCAGAAAGACAGGAGTCCCACACTCTCTCACAGGAGGGCCTCTTCACCACGTCGGTGCCTCTTCTTCACTGTCCTGCCGTCCATACACACTGTCCTCTCTGACATAGGACAAATAACGGAACTGCTTATGCAGACACGAATTTCCCGTCAAAGAAGGAATAATGTAATAGGGAGATTGAAGAAATCGAGCGGAAATTGAAACACTCGTATGAAACTGAAGAAAGGCAGTTAGAACAGAAAGCAATTCAGGAAATAAAGAAAAATCCAAAATATTTCTTCTCATATGCGAAATCAAAAGCAAAAACCACTGCCAGTATTGGACCTATTCGTAAACGTGAAGGTTCATACACGGAGGATGACAAAGAAATTAGTGAAATCCTAAAAAAGCAGTATGAGGACATGTTTAGCACTCCAATAAACAACATGAAGGTAGAAGATCCAGACAATTTCTTTATGCAGGATATTCAAACCCCTGTAAATATAACTGATATAAACACGAGCGCACTAAATTTTGAAAAAGAAATTGAAAACATGCCCATGCACTCGGCCCCAGGTCTAGACTCATGGAATTCAATATTTATAAAGAAATGCAAAGTGCCGGTAGCACAGGCACTCAGTATAGTGTGGAGGAAGAGCTTGGACACGGGGGAGATACCAGATGCACTTAAAGTAGCAGACATAGCCCCTCTACACAAGGGAGGGAGCAAAGCATTGGCAAAAAATTATAGACCAGTTGCACTAACATCGCACATCATAAAAGTATTTGAGAGAGTGATTAGGAGTCAGGTCACTAATTTCATGGAGACCAATGACCTTCACAACCCAGGCCAACATGGATTTCGAGCGGGAAGATCGTGCCTCTCACAGCTACTTGAGCACTACGACAAAGTCACTGAGGCATTAGAAGAGAAACAGAATGCTGATGTGATATACACGGACTTCGCAAAGGCTTTCGATAAATGTGACCATGGCGTGATAGCACACAAAATGAAGTCAATGGGAATAACCGGTAAAGTAGGACGCTGGATACTCAGTTTTCTGTCAAACAGGACTCAGCGAGTAACTGTCAACCAGGACTCAGCGAGTAACTGTCAACCATATAAAATCTAGTCCAAGTGCAGTGAAAAGCTCTGTACCTCAGGGTACAGTCCTTGCACCGCTGCTTTTCCTTATTCTCATATCAGATATAGACAAAAATACAAGTCACAGCTTCGTATCATCCTTTGCAGATGACACAAAAATCAGTATGAAAATTACCTCGGCTGAGGACATTGACAAACTTCAAGCTGATATTAATAAAGTTTTCGACTAGGCATCAGAAAATAACATGATGTTTAACAGTGATAAATTCCAGGTACTCAGATACGGTAAAAATGAGAACCTTAAACATAATACAGAGTACAAAACACAATCAAATGTACCCATAGTAGGAAAACAGCATGTAAAGGATTTGGGAATAATAATGTCTGACGACCTAACGTTTAAGGAGCATAACCAAGCAAATATTGCGACAGCCAGAAAAATGATAGGATGGATTACGAGAACTTTCAAATCCAGGGATCCCATCACAATGGTTGTACTCTTCAAGTCACTTGTGTTGTCCCGTCTTGAGTACTGCTCAGTACTCACTTCCCCCTTCAGAGCAGGACAGATTGCTGAAATAGAGGGAATACAGAGAACATATACGGCACGCATAGACGCAATAAAGCACCTAAATTATTGGGATCGTCTCAAAGCCCTCCAAATGTACTCACTAGAAAGAAGACGAGAGAGATATCAAATAATATACACCTGGAAGATACTGGAGGGCCAAGTACCAAATCTACACAGTAAAATAACAACGTACTGGAGTGAACGACATGGAAGAAAATGTAGAATAGAACCAGTGAAGAGCAGAGGTGCCATAGGCACAATCAGAGAACACTATATAAACATCAGAGGTCCGCGGTTGTTCAACGTCCTCCCAGCAAGCATAAGAAATATTGCCGGAACAACCGTGGACATTTTCAAGAGGAAACTAGATTTATTCCTCCAAGGAGTGCCGGACCAACCGGGCTGTGGTGGGTATGTGGGCCTGCGGGCCGCTCCAAGCAACAGCCTAGTGGACCAAACTCTCACAAGTCGAGCCTGGCCTCGGGCCGGGCTTGGGGAGTAGAAGAACTCCCAGAACCCCATCAACCAGGTATCAACCGGGTAACCAGTCCTGGACACAAGCTGCCTTGCAGCCTATTCTACTACTAAAGTATTAATGTCATATTGCCACATACATAAGTAAATATTGTGGCCTAACTAGCTTACTCACACAAGGGGTAATGGGAGGGAAAATGATCTACCTTACATTCCTGGCTCACGACGCCTCTTGCTCCCTCCGTTCCTGAAGTGTCACTCCTCCAGTTGGTGACGTGGCTCGTACCACCTTGCCAGTCGCTTGCCTCATTATATCTCCACCTCGCATAGGACTGGGTGTGATGGGTGTTCCCTGAACACCTACAAGAAATCCTCTCTCCGTGGCTACGAGTGTACTCCAACGGCTCGTTACCACTGTAAGATTCAGTGCATGCAGCGCCTCCACCGCATCGTGCACTCCGAGAAAGTCTTGCACTTCCACTGCATCCTACAGGTAATCCATGTTTCCTCTCATGAGCTCCTCTTCGCCAGTCTTCTCTCTTCTCGGTTCCTCTTCTCCCATAGGTGCGTTGTCTCCTCACAGTGGCACTTGTCACCTGTACTCCATCCAGCAGCTTCCTCTCTTTCCACACTAGGCTTTTACGATGGCCCAATGCCCCTCTGGTTAGGCTGGCGCCTACCCTGGGTGTACCTATTCCCTGCTTTCTTCGTATTGCCTTTCCTATACCATTCGCTCCTTCGTTCCCGACGAACATTTTCACTCCTCCATGAGATTCTCTTCCCCGCAGACGTCTTCTTCGGTTCGAGGTTGGGCTCATCCACCTCCCTGTGGCTCACCTCACCATGGTGGTTCATCTTGCACCTACCACTATTCCTCTGGCTGGCATAGGGTGCACTGCGTCGTGGCTCCTCCACTCTGCCCCTCACTGCTGTTCACTCATCCACTGAGCTTACTCTATTCACATTTCTGTGTGGAGGGAGTGCGGTCTGCAGCCTCTTCACCGCCCCAGGCGTTTGTACAGCTGCTCCTCCACACGCATCATCAGGCTTAGTCGGAGGTCCTCGTCGGGGTTTTCCACGACCTCCGACGACCTCTCTGCACTCTCGCCTTCATTGTCGTCGTCTCTGGCGACGTTTCCCCTGGCGAAGTCGGCTTCCTCAGTACCATCTGGAACGGCCGATACCTCACCTGGCAGGGTTGTACCGCTGCTTGCAACATAGGCACTCCTGGCCCAATCGGGTTGTTTCCTGCCTCCTCCGAGGTCATTACCCTGCACCATCTGTACATGCTCTAGGGGTAACTTAGGGGCTACAGCTACTATAGCTTTCTCGACTCCGCAGTCGGCAATCAGCTGTACTTCATGAAGTGGCAACCTGTATTCCTCCCCCACACAATGTATCCTCACCACTCCCACAGGTGAATCATTAAATTCCTTGGGGAGAATACTCCTGGTTACCATACTTATGTCAGCACCCGTATCTCGAAGCACGGCAACTTCCACTGGGTCTGACTTTCCAAACTTCACGTTGGCCCCAAAAACGAAGGGATGTTCACCCAACTTTATTTCCCAACCATTCACGTTGGGTCCACTATAATATGGGGTGTGAACAAACACTCTCTCCTCTTCCAACATTAGTCCTATATTCCTTTGGTGCTCCTCACACTCGCGGGCATAATGTCCTCTCACACCACAGTTGAAGCATCGGCTGCCTCCCCTGGGCGGCCACTCGCCAGTCTCCCTGGCGGTACCACTTGCAAACGTTCCCTGGGTCCTCCTTGGACTCCCTGTCGTTGTGTCCGGGACTGCAGCACTTGCTCCCGAGCTAGGTCCACTGCTCACAGCTTGGGGCTTCCTCCCCGCGTCCCTTGAG